AGGCAATAAGTGATAGTTATTGTGTATTATGGATAAATTTAAATAAAGCTGTAGCTGCAGTTAGGCAGAAGTACTGGTGGGATCAGAAAAGAGAATGTGGAAATAAGTAAATATCCATGAGGAGCAGCAATTCTAGAGACCACATCCATGAACAGTGGGCGTGGAACTGACAGCCTTTTTCTGTGGAGCCAGATGTGTTCTGCCCAGCAGGGCTGCTGAAAGGTCCCCCCACCATTAAATGACGAAGGATGGAAGGATTAAAAATGCAGGTTTGTAGACTGAAGGAAGAGAGGCCTGGAAGAAGAAAAAGCCATCGCCTCTGACTATGTAATTCTGTCACTTCCTGTCCTGGAGCCCGACCCATCACTACGAGCCCTGAGGTACAACGCAAAGCAACACTGAGGCTGGAGGAGGGAGACAGGTTCATAACACGCCAGAGCTTAAAGGCGAAGGTATGGATGCCAGGGCCAGACATCCATCCACCCAAGCACACAGGACACATATAAGCAGAACCTGCTAGGTTTGAAACCCCTAGCTGTGTGCTCAGCAAGCCCCACCTTTCTAGACAGCTGGATACCCAGCAAACCCACTCATTCTGCAGGGGCCCTGCCTTGGTGGGGCGCAAACATCATTTCAAACATCTAGCCCGGTGCTCAGGGCACTGCTGCGGCTGGGATAAACTTAGCATCCTTTGCTTTTTCTTGAAATTTTAAAATTACTTCTCAAAGACTTGGTTTGTAAACTTAAATACCTGACAAAGAAGAAGAAAAGGATAACAAAATGATCATGAAGACATCCTGTGGTTCAAACGCACACCGTCTGTCCTTAGCCTCTGAAGATGACGCAGCAGAGCACGCACGGGCGTTGTCTTTCAAGCACAGTGACTTTTTGCTCCCATGTTCTCCATAACCTGTCACCCAGTTGTCAGACAACTGCAAACACACAAGAGGTCCCATCGGGACTCAGTACTCTTTCAGGCAGAATCTCCTCTGCGCAAGCCTGTTTGGCCTGTGCAGGGAGAAACTACATTCTTGGCCCACCTCCTGACCAAAATGAAACCAAGACCACGTGCTGTGAAAACATCCATCTCCACTCTTGATCTCCCTGAAACTAAAGGTAACCTCCGAAGTTAGGATTAGAGCATTTGGTGGAAATGAAAAGCTGCCTAAAATCCTCTCACGTCCTAGCACTGCCTTCACTTTTAGGATATGAATATTTAGAAAGGTTTAAGAACCTCTTTCTCACACATTTCTCTCCTTCCCAGATGTAGAGAGCTCTCAACAACTGCCTCTTCATTTATGAGTAAGAGTGTGCTGAAGGGTGTTATTGCCTGAGCAGAAAGCATCCTCGAAACACATTCCTGACTCAGTTATTCATTTCTTTGGGAGAAAAGGTTTTCCCCCACAGGTAGGAAGCGGATGATCACTTAACACTTCCAGCAACAGTGATTAAAAGTGATACCCGGGTGAAGTATTTGGGGTTGATTCAGCCAACACTGAATCAATCATCTCTAGTAAAGGAGACAGCAGATGCTACAGCAGCGCCTGCCTCAAGTTTGTTATTAAAATAACACAGAGCAAGATGTAAGGAGTTACCAAGCACCGAATTCCCTTTCCCTAGAGCTCTTCAAAGACAAAACAGCCACTCATTTTCTCAACTGTCAAAATAGGTCTGTGACTAGTTTTTGAGGCCCCCTCCTCCCAGCAATGACTGGGAGCCAATTGTTCTTAGAAATCAAGGTGGGGCATCAATTGGCTGGAGTATAAAACAGGCAAAAATATACAACCCAAAGGCAGCACATATAACAGAAATTGCTCGGCATGGGATCTGGTAATTTAAGAACAAAAATCCAAAAACAAGTGAAGAGAAAGCCAAGGAAAAAGGCAATTTTAAAGAAGTATCTCAGGTCTCTAGAACGACCCCCAGATGCTGCCTAACATTTACGTCACAGAGAAACAAATGGGCAGAGATGCCATGTGCCACAGGAAGTAGCTAATTTTATCTGCAGGCCTGGAAAACTTTTACTTCTCCCGGCTCTTCACAGTTGTTGAGATTTCAGGCTACCAAGTACCCAGGTATTTCAGTCTGGTTTCTCTCTAGCCAGTCAGGAAACTGCAGACAGAGGGCTGAGGCAGCTCCTGAAGCAGCCTGGGTCTAGCAGGGAAAGTTGTCTGAGGCCTAGGACTGAGGGAGGAGTGCCGGGTAGGCACACGCTGCAGCACTGGTTAACCTGGCCACAGCCACCTTCCACTGGTCCAGGCCCAGTAGTCAGCAGTCAGGCAGTCTGTTAGGGGAGGCCAGGAGTAGACAGAGACAAAAGACACACATTGTTCCCACTCGGGGAGGGGGGTTTGGGAGGCTGCCTCTGCGCAGTGTGAAGCTGTCCCCACTGAGTGGCCAATATAGGTTTCCTATAAAGCAGTTGATGCCACCTTCGGCCCCAGGAGGGGAAGCAAGCCAGCCTTCTCATAAACCACCCCTTGCAGGGATGCTTAGAGCAGCATCACCGCCACCTCAGACAGGTGTGAGCAATTAGATGGACCTGCCTTCAGAACTGCGATTTGTTCACCTGACTTGGCATTTTAACCCTTCTCGTCCCCAGTGTATCTCACTCCCGGAAGAAGAAATGAGTTAACTTCAACGGAGTTTGCGGTGTGCTGGATGGAGATTGGGGGAGGGGAGTAGAGGAGGCGGGAAGGTGGGAACCTTCTGAAAGCTTGCACGTATTGCTTTTTTTTTTTCAGGTGAAAAGGAAAAAAAGGAAAAAACATATTAGGCAGCAAAGAGGGCCGGCAGGATACCCCTCATTTTCGGACATTCGTGGTATTTTAGGTAAAGAGCAACTCGCAAAACTCGTCCAGATTGACAGAAAACGTGTTGGCCTGTCAACTGGAGAAGGGGGTAAAAAAACAAGATTCACTGAGTCCAGGGACGCAAGAATTCAGGCTCCCGGGCTTCCGGTCTCCCCCGACCATCCTCCCTGCCCCACCCCAGACTTGCAGGTGGAAAGCAAGCAAGTGAGACGGTACAGGGCCCCAGTCAGGGGTCGCCGGCCACCGCAGACGGCCGTCGCTGCGGGGACACACCCTCCACCTACCTCAAACATGGGAGAGGCGCCCTTGCTCGGCAACGTGCAGCCCAAGAGCTTGGCGAGAAACTTTGCCATATACGAGCAGTGAGGCAGGGTCTCTCCCGAGGCGCCGGAT